CTATATGGGGTCTTTATATGAAGTGTCAGGTTCTGGCCCATAAGACTGTATAGCGGGTTCAATTTCTGGATTGTTTGCCAGTCTCTAAGTGAGAAATAGCTTGGTATAATTTTAATCAGAATTCCTCTTACTGAAAGCCTGGTTGAATATTTTTAAAATTTGTTTAAAAGCCAGTTTCTGTTTTTCCCCCAGTGAATTGTCTCTTTGTGTGATTTTCCTGTTTCCTCTCAGCCTTGTTGATTTATCTTCAGAGTTCTTTACCTAACTAGGAGGGGAGTTCAGTCCCTCCCCGACAGACATTGCAAATGTTTCTCCCAGTAGGTCATTTGTCTCCTGACTTTGCTCGTGGCATATTTTGCCACTGAAAATGGCTTCAAGTATCCTTGGACAGGCTTATTGATCTTTTCTTTTACTATATTAAGTCACAGAAAGGCTTTCCAACTAAGAAGTCAGAAAGTCACCCAAGTTTTCTCAGAAAAATAAACAGGTCCATTTATTACACACAGCTCTACAACTCACTTGGACTTGCTCCTTTGTTGTTGGGTTTTTTCCTTCTTCCTAAGACACAGCCTTATTCTGGGTGTGTCTGAAGACATATTCAGAGAGGGGAAGAACCCCCCCTCCACCCCTGAGGCTGGTCGGTGTCATCCCCTGGCCTACAGTCACAGATTGAATAAAACCGGGACAAGGGAGAAAGCAGCTAGGTATTCAGTCAAGACATTAACGAAAATAATCAGCATAATGGAAGAAGTCTGCTTATCTTATCCCCCAATGACAGCTACCATCTTTCTTTACAAGCAAAATTAGTATTCTTCCCAGATTCCTTTGGCTGAACCAGATCCTACAGGCTCCAAATGATGTGGGACTGGAGTGGGCCTCGAGTCTCCATCTTACTCAGTAGTCAACAAACATTCTTCACTGTGTGGAAATCTTTACCTCCCTCTCTCCTCATGTCCCTAGCCTCCCTCCAGCAGGTGTTTCCCCCCTTGTCTTCCTAGCCTCCCGCCAGCAGGTGTCTCCACCCTTGTCTTCCTTGCCTTCTCTCAGTATGTGTGACTCTCTTCTTATCTCCCTTGCCCACTCTAGGCATGGGTGTTTCACTCCATGTCTCATTACCCTAATACTTCAATGAGACTTTGTGGGGAAATCTCTCTCAGAGTCTCCCCTGATCCTCTGCTCCACGGCATTTCAAACAGAAGCCTGTGGAGTGAGGCAATGGACCGCTGAAGGACCAGCGTCTGCAACAAATGAAAGCCAGTTTTCAGCATCTATCTCAGCACCCTCTGTTTAGCCAGAACCTTCCTCTAGTATTCATTGTCACCATCCTGTGCATTCATGTCCTGGGCTGATGTGGGCCTCTTCCAAATAAGGTGACATCCCATTGATTCTGGAGCTCACTTCAATCTCTTCCTCCTTCATAAAGCCTATCCTGACTGGACTGGAACACCGTGCCCTCTCCCACCTCCACATTCCTGTAACAATCTCTGTATTTCTCACTGATGCACATTGCAAGGAAAGAGAGGTTATTGGATAAATGTTTAATGGATACATTATCTGCATATAGTGTAATGTTTTGAAGGGATAAATGACAAAGACTGTAAAATCTTTGCTGTAAAACTATAGGGCATGATTATGTTCATGCTGCCCTACCATCTGTCTTTAACTTGTTCTCTCTTATCTTCGTCATGCTCCCTGTGATCAGGAGACTAAGATGGAGGCTAGGATTGAAGGTTATGCAAATAAAACTTAAATTCATAAATGTCTCACAACTTAGGTTAATGAAGACTGCATTATCTGGGAAAGAGAGAATAACAAGGTGACTGTCCTATGACTGGGATGACAGTCAACTATTACAGCAGCTGTTGCTACCAGTGGCCATTTGTAGATTGCTTAATCTGCTCAAAACAGCATTCTATGAGCAATGTGTTATTATCCCCAAGAGGCTGAGATCTAGAGCTACAAGTCATGGCCCTTTGTCACCTATCTAGCACAGGAAGTAACTGGGAACTCCACTGTAGGTTGCTTTCTGCATAGATCATGCCTGTAACTGTGCTATTTTAATTATTAGGAAGTGACAAAGGACAAGACAAGGTAGCTCTTCTGTCCTTTTAGATCCATAGTTTTTCCACTATAAAAATTATCACAGTCAGGAAGATAGAGTTGAGGGAAGAATAGAGAAGGAGAGCAAGGAAAGAGATACCATAACAGAGGGAGCCATTATGGGTTTAAAGAGAATTCTGGTACTAGGAAAATGTCCAGAGATCTACAAGGATGACTCAAACTAAGAATCTAAGCAATAGTGAAGAGGCTACCTTAAACACCCTTCCCCTATAATGAGATTGATGACTATCTTAAATGCCATCCTAGAGCCTTCACCCAGTAGCTTATATAAACAGAAGCAGAGACCCACAGCCAAGCACTGAGCCAAATTCCTGGAATCCAGTTGTAGAGATGGAGGAGTGATGAGCAAAGGGGTCAAGACCATGCTGGGGAAACCCACAGAAACAGCTGACCTGAGCAGGTGGGAACTCACAGACCCCAGTCTGACAGCTGGGAAACCAGCATAGGGCTGAACCAGGCCCCCTGAATGTGGGTGTCAGTTGGGAAGCCTGGACAGTCTGTGGGGCCTCTGGCAGGGGAACCAGTATTTATCCCTAGTGCATGAATGAACTTTGGGAGCCCATTCCCCATGGAGGGATACTCTCTCAGCCTAGATACATGGGAGAGGGCACAGGCCCTGCCACAAATGATGTGACAGACTTTGATGGTCCCCCATGGGAGGCCTCACCCTCCCTGAGGAGTAAATGGGGATGGGATGGGGGCATGGGAGGATGGGAAGGAGAAGGAACTGGGATTGGTATGTAAAATAAGATTGTTTTTAATTTAAATAAAAATTTATTTTAACAAAAATCATCACAGCCTGGGGATATTAGGTCAGTGGTAGGAAAAAAAAGTGAGAAAGTAAAAGAAAAAACAAATGAAAGTTCACATAACATGCTTTCAAAATTATAAATTATCTATCAACTGGATATTATTATTTTAAGCAATTTAGAAGTTTAGGTCTCTTTAGAAACTCTCCTAGACCTAGTTGAAGGAATGGTAAAGCCATATGGAGGATGGAAAAATCCCTCAGAATGTTGAAACAGAAAAAAAAATATTTGATGGCTTGATGACATTTCTGGAAACTAGAAAGCAATAGTGCCCACTGGCATTCCAAAGCTGAACTCTACAGAGGAAGGCCTCAGCCATAGGCTTTGGCTAGAGGGGCCCCAAGCTTGGAGAACACGAATAGGAAAAACAAGCATGAACCTGAGGTGCTATCAGGGAAGTTGGCCACACAACAGACAGTTGGCAGAACTAGACCACTCAGACACACACTATCCACACTCCATGTGTAGACCAGATGTTTGTTTCCAGCTGCTGCATAACCTTAGTCTTCACAGAACACATTTTTCAAGGAGGGGATAGAGGGACTTAGTGGAAGCAGAAGTATTTTGCATCCTGAAGGGCTTTAGAGCCTCCACAATAAACAAAAACCAGTTCTACTCCAAAGTCAAATTTCATGACATGGATGTTGCCTCAGGTAATTATGGTAGCTGAATTTGTTGAGTATGTGGAAGCTTCACTCATTTAGAGAACAGTCTTCTGGGTAAGCATACCTACCAATGAAACCTGTCTCCTTAGATGCAGAAACATGTTCCATGCATACTTCAAAAATGACTTAAGTCAGCCAGGCATGCTGGCACAAGTCTTTAATCCCAGCATTCAGGAGGCAGATCTTTGTGAGTTTGGTACCAGCCTGGTCTCCCTAGCAAGTTCCAGGACAGCCAGGAGATCTGGTCTCAAACAGAAATTACTTAAATAGGGGCTGGGGAGATGGTCAAGGTGAAAAGTGTATGCCAAATGAGCATGGAGACCTAAGTTGGATATCTATCATGTATATAGAAATGCAGTCAGGCAGCCCACTTCTAATCCTAGCACTGGGAAGTTGGACCCAGAAAGATCCCTGAGGGTTGCTGGCAAGCCAATATAACTGAATTGGTGTACTCTAGGTTTAGTGAGAGACCTTGTCTCAAAGAAAATGTTTGATAGCAATTGAAGAAGACTCTCAGCATTGACCTTTGACCTCTATATGGATGCACAGAGATGTGCACTTGTATACACATGAATCACCCCACCCCCACAAACAGGTATGCACATATACATACAAGAACATATACACACACATACAAACATAAACAAGTATATATGTATGTATGTGTGTGTGTATGTGTGTGTGTGTGTATCACACAAAAAATTACTTAATATATGTTCTAATGGAACAGTGTGGTGGTTTGTATAAGAATGGCCCCCATAGGCTCATATGTATGAATACTTGAGCCTCAGTTGGTGGAACTGTTTGGGAAGGATTGGGGGTGTGGCCTTGTGGTTGAAGGAGGTATGGTCTTGTTGAAGGAGGTGTGTCACTGGGGGTAGGGTTTAAGGTTTCAAAGGGCTCTTGCTACTCCTAGTTTTCTATCTGCCTATTGCTTTCAGTTCAAGAGGAAACTGAACTCCAATCCCTTCTGAAACCATAAGGCAAGTTAAACCCTTCCTTTTATAAATTGTCTTGGTCATGGTGTTTTACGACAGCAATAGAAAAGTAACTAATACAAACAAGAACCCAAGAAGAAGATTTAGAATTAAGAGGCACTAACACAGAGTGCTGAAATGAATTCCCAGCTTGATAGCTTGGAAGCAAACCTACATCAGTGTGAAAAAGTTGAAGAATGGAGAATGTTTTCAAGAAGGAAGCAGATATAAATATGAAAGTCAAAGCAAGTATCTTTACGGATAACAAGAAAAAGAGAAAACTAGAGAGAACTGAAAAAAAATCACAGTTGCATGAAATTTTCCTCAGACACTAAGGCGTGGTAAAATTTTGAATAGCTGGAGTAAGAAGTGGCATTGCTTGCATTTTGCCAAATAGGATATTTTCCCCTAAGGAGCACACACTGTAATGAAATAGAGCAAGATTCATGTTTTTTTCTATTGACTCAATCACGCTAAATGGTTTTACAGTAAGGGTTCAAGTAAGTGATCCTGCTACATGACAAATTACCCCAGAATGTAATGGCTTAAAACAATAATTACTCATTGTTGGTCATAGTTTCTGTGGTCAAGAAATTTGGGGACAGCTCAACTAGATGGTTCTGGCTCAAAGCAATGTGGAAGGCTCTGGGTTAAATGATGGCTGGGCCTTCATTGAACTTCACTGCTTCTTTGCTACAAATCTGGCATCTGTTCTGGGAAGTCTAGAAAGCTAGACAGCCGGGAAGGCTTTGGCCTGCTCTCTCCATGTCAGTGTAACCTGATAATGTGGCTTCTCCAGGATGGCAGTGTCCTCCGCGATGACTAGGGCTCCAGAACTCTCTCTCCTAAGGATAGAAAAGATAGAAGCAAGAATAAGACAACAGAGAGCATCATTTCTCCTGGACTCCATCAAGCAAGAGAGTCAACAAAATGCCACTGAAGCTCAAGGGAAATTGAGAGGATTCCAATTCTTGCTATAGAGTGGCAAGGTTCTAGATGAATACAGGACTCGAGTTCTGTTGTTGTTGCTGTCTTGTTTTTGAAGGTGTATTTCAGAAATACAGTCTCTTGCAGTGTCAAACCTATGCTCTTCATTTACCTGAATTTTAAATATCAGCTTACAGGTAAAATGTGGAAGGTGGCATAATATAAAACAAAATGTAAATTTAATTAAAATTAAAACAACTATATTACAGACATAGAAAAGTGTTGTAGAAGTACGAATATAATAGTCTTTTAGGGATTTTTATTTGTTTGCTTGGTGGTTGTTTTGAGTCTAGCTGGTCTAGACTTTCTATATAGACCAGACTGGTTCCAAACTCACAGAGATCCACTTCCTCTACCTCTGGAGCACTAGGATTAAAGGCAGTACCACCACACCCAGCTCCTCTTTGTTGTTGCTGTTGGCTTCCACCTCTAGAATGCCAGTATTACAGTCATGCACCACCATACCTGACTTGTACAGTTCTGGGAACTGAACACAGGCACAGGAGTTTTTGCATGTTAGGTAGGCACCAACAGAATGACATCTCCAACATCCCTTTTTTCCCTTCCTTCCTTTATTTGACAAGTATTTGCTGAATGTTTGTTGCATGCCACAGATTCTTATAGATTTTACACACACACACACACACCAGAAAATGAGAAATTTTCCATTGCCTATAGCATTACCACCCTAATAACCTGGCTTTCATTTCTTATAAGCTAGGGAGAAACCAACAGTAAGTTTTATATAGATACAGATGGTAGATATGGATACATGTACACCTATAAATAGATGTACATTCTACAGAATCTGGATATTGGCACATAGAATCAAGGAGGCTGAAAAATCTACAGTGAACATCTGGGAGCTGAGAGACAGAAAAGTCAGCAGTGTGACATCTAAGAAGTCAGAAGCTTCCAACCGAGGGAGGCATGTGGTATAAGGTGGCATCTTCCTCTTGCCTTCCTGCTCTCTTTGGTCCCTCAGCTGGCTGAAGGATGCCTCTTACTCAGTTTGCTGACCTCCCCTGTCAGGCCTCTTAGAAACACCCACACAGAAGTATGCTCTACCGTTGACCTATCACCCCTCATTATAGCGAGGGGGATACCCAAAATTAACCACCACAATAAATAAACTGAGATGTTCATGCTTTACAATGAGACGTGCATATTCTTCCATTACTTATACATGTGCACTTTTAGCAAATGAAGAATTTAAAGAATTTGGAGAAAAGGAAAGTGTGGTGGTTTGAATGAATGTCTCTTCAGGCTCAGTTACTTGAATATTTGGTCCCCAGCTAATGGCAGTGTTAGGGGAGGCAGTGCTGCCTTGCTAGAGGAAGTCATCTCTGGGAGCGGGTTTTGAGCGTTCACAGCCTTGCTCCCCTTCAAGTTTGCTCTCTCTGCTTCATGTTTGTGGTTAAGCGTGTGTTCTACCAGCTCTCTGCTCCTGCCACCATGCCTTCTGCTTGCTGACTTACGTCCCCACCATAATGGACTCCAATCCCCCTTGGAACCATAACCAAAATTATCTCATAAGTTGCTTTTGACCGTGGTATTTTATTGCATCAGTTGAAATGTTAGCTAATACAGAAAATCAATAAGTGGATCATAAAAGTCTATTATACATACCAAGGAAGGGACATCCAAACTATAATAAAAAAATCACGAGATTTGAATAAACATTACACAATATGGGGGGGCAATGATGTGGGATGTCATTCTGCATGCTGCAAGTATGTGTTCCTTTTGTTGGTTGGTGGATAACGCTGCTCTGCCCTATGGCAGGGCAGAATATAGCTAGGCTGGAAAGCCAAACTGAATACAGGAGGAAAGAAGATGTGGTCAAGAGATGACAGCAGCTGCCAGAGGAGTAAGATACCAGAGCGTTATTGGTAAGCCATGGGCTACCTGGTGATACACAGATTAATAGAAATAGGTTAATTTGTATGTAAGAGCTAGCTAGTAATAAGCCTGAGCTGTCAGTGTCTGATAAATTATAAGCAGCTGCAGGACCCGGCAGGATGCAAAAAAGCCTCTGGCTACAGGGCAAATGTCCAGCAAATATATAAAATGATGCTCAGCATTGTAAGCTACCAGAGAAATGCAAATTAATACTGAAATACAGCACCTCTACACATTTCACAAAAGGGCCAGAAAGACTGACAAAGCTGAGACCAACATCAATTTTATCTGGTTGAAAAGCAAAGGGAACCTCATATTCAGTTAGTGACACTGTGGGTGGAAATGGCAGAGCCACCTTGGGAATCAGTGACATACTAGAGTGAGCTATATGCTTATCTTTTAACCTTCAGTTTCCCTCCCCCAAATATGCACATGTACACCAACAGACATGTAAAAACATTTATGGAAACAATAAGATCTCTGGATAGAACCAATAGCAATATTGTGTAGTAGCAATTTGAAACATTCCACTCTGAGGGAAGATCTTGAAGGTTTAAGAAGTTCTAAAGGAAGGACTATTAAAATCTAGGAAATACACAATGTAGAAGTCTCAGGAAGTCCCTGAAACTGGTTAGATGTACTGGTTCCTCCCTTACCAAAGTCACAAACAACAAGGACTGTTGAGGTGAAGAGAGTCTCCAACTGTCTAGATGACTGCAAATCTTGGAGAGACCTTCAAGGTTTCAGCTTACATGAGTCATCATCATTTAGTAATGCAGCTGCCTTTTACTTGTCCACAATCCTCTAAGTAATCCATTACCTTCCCAGTCCCCACATCAAAACAAGGCAGATGTGATTACTTGCTGGTAACCCCAGCACTCAGGAAGCACATGCAAGAGATCCCTAGAGCAAGCTGGCTAGTTAGTCAAATCAGTGAGTTCTGAGGTGAAATAGGAGACCATGACTAGACACATGAGGTGAGTAGTGATTGGGGGAGACATCTGATGTGTACTAGCACCCGCACGCACACACAAATGCTCCCACACATAAGCAGATACACACACACACACATGTTCATCACACACACACACACACACACACACACACACTTATACAAAAAGAAATAAATAATAAAGAAGAGGTCATTATTATAAATACTCAGCCTATGACTTCTCTTTTAAAGAATCACTTTATTGTAATAGACTCATAAATGAAACAACACAGAACTAGATTAAGATAGCCACCCAAATGCTTGCCCAGTCTCAAACTTTAGGCCTCAGTGAACTTACATGTGGTTAGAATGGCCATCCTGAAGCCATGGAGCCCATTTACAGCTTTACACTTGCACTGTCAGTTTCATTTTTATGGACTTATCCGCCATAAACAAGAAAAAACCATGGCAGAGTTGAACTAGAAAAACAGTTAGCTTCTTGTCTTCTTCCACAACTCGGGAGTCCTTTGCCTACGCCCCATCCTTCCTCATCACCTTTTCTTGGCATCCTTTCTGCATGCTACACTACACCACACTTACACCTATCTACATATAAACATGTATACAACATAGGCTAGGATCCACATATGAAGGAAGAAAAATGCATTTTTGTTTGTTTTGTTTTATTTCTGAGTTTGGATGACCTCACTTAATATTTTACATTCTAAGCCCATCAATTTTGCTGCAAGTTTTATGATTTCATTTTCTTTATAGCCAAGTAATATTCCATTTTGTGTATGAGTCCAGAGAGCTCCACAAACCAACTTTTCACACAAATCATCACTTACCAGAATACTGCTTCTTTTCAACAACTCATTAACAAATGGCAGTGAAAAAGATTACAGTTAGCTTAATTTGCTGCGACAGCCACTATACAATAAAGTAGATACAAGCTTCACATGCATATGCTGCTACTGTCTGGCCTATAGTGAGTGCTCTTTCTCCAGATTAAATCCTATGAGTGAAAAGTTGTGTGGCAATAAGGCTTACCTTAATCAACTGTGGTTAGCAGGTCCGCAGGCACGGTCAGGCAAGTAGTGGGGACATGGAAAGTGCATGCTCCTGGCTGTAAGCATTACTATAGCTGCTCAAGTGACAATAGGAATCTCTCCCTCCCCTGCCCCTACCCCATTTCATCCCCCTCCTTCCTCTTACCTTCCTTCCTTTCTCCCTCACGCTTCCCCTCCTCCTCCTCTTTCTCCTCTCCTCCTTCCTCTCTCTTCTCATTCTCCTCTCCCTCCTCCTCCTCTTCTCTATGGTGCTATAAATCAAACCCAGGATTTCAAGTATGCCAAACAAGACCTCAACTACTGAACTATACCCCTCACCCCTTGTTTTAGTTTAGTTTAGTTTTCAAAGTTGGGTATTGAACCCAGGGCTTAACTTCTTTTTTTTTAAACAACAATAGCAAAAAATGGATAAATTATATATTTATTATATTGCCATATTTCATTTTAGACTTTAAAGTGTTAAGGGCTTTTAATGTTTGGAATGTGTTTATATTTCATCAAATTTAAGAACCCTCTAGGGGAGAGAAATGAACAGAGCAAGTCCAGGCCCAGAGGTGCCTCATTTAAATCAGGAAACCATTGGAAATCACAGAAAAGTACTATGCAGACACAATTAGAGTATGCCTTCATTATTTAAAGTAAATTATATTTCACAACAAAATGTAGAGGCAGAACAAGGTTTTAAATGTGTTACAGGAAACTCAACAACGAGGATTGGGGCATCAGTGTTTTCTAAAACAAAAATCATTTTCCTTCCTCCTATCCATACTGAGTCCCGTGGAGTGGCACTTCTCTAACTTTGTACAAACACTCTTTGAAGGGCGATGAATAAACATTCCAATGGTGTGGACTTTATAACAGCATTAGGAGACCAATAGGTTAAGTCAACCTTTGCTCAGTTGGGGCCGTGCTGTTGCTGCCTGTGCAGTAATGGAGCGCCTGGCCAGCTGCAAAGTCAATAGGTCAAAGCAATTGACCAGTAATGGTGGAGAACAAGCCTGTGCAAGCTGCCCTTTGGCTCCCATGGCCGAGCTTAAACAAATTCAAGACCTGTACTCTGAACTCCTTATTCTTGTGTCAAGCTACAGAGGGGAACAGAGGCATGTCTCTGCATTCAACCTGGATGCTGTTGTTTTCTGGAGACAAAAATTACCCCAGAACATCCAAGGAGCATAAATAGCTATCTTGGGGAAGAACACCTTGAGAGAGTTACTACAGGGTGGGGTGCCTTCTATTTAGTTTCCTTCTCAAAGTTCTGAGATCACACCCATTTGCCCCATGGTGACAGGCTCTTGGAAGCTGCTTTTGCTAACAACCACAGACCTTCTCTTGTGCCAATGAGCAGAGTGAAAACCTGACATCTCTGCCTTCATTTTGCAGCTCCTTCCTTTACATCGGGTCAGCTGCTTACCTCTGCACATAGGTACGTCATTCACTCATAGAGTGTCTATATGGAAACTGGCCAAATATAACCCATCCCATTCCCCTTCAAAGATGAAAGCACACAGAGTAACTGAGGCCTCTTATTTTTATAAATAAATAAAAATAGTTCAACTTTTTATAATGACCTAATTCATAATCTCCAGAAAGCACCTAAATAGCTCTAACGATTATCCTAAGTGTGAAGTCACCATGAATCCCATGCACAACAGAGCCTTGAAGGGCTACCTCCTCCTCCTTCAGAAGATGCCCATCTCAACCCAAGAAGCAAGATGATTTCTTGAATTAAAACTGAGATAGTGATCAATCAGACTCAATACATCTTGACCATACTGCTAAATCATGCATGCCTTTTCCCCAATGCACCAATTCTTATTCTATCATGCCAGTATCCTAAAGATGAATCCGAGGGTCACTGAACCCCTCTATCTGTTCCTGTTCCAGTGTGGCCTCACTAATTACACACTGATTAAGTATCCTCTGTCTGCCTTTCATGGTTACTCCTCTCTTTATTGGGGTTTTGGGATAGGTAGCCAAATTGTCCATTGGGACTCCTGGAGACTGGGCCTTTGTACTAAATTCTATTACACAGCCTTTCTGGTAGAGGCTGGAATAACCTGAGAACCTCTTTTATCCCTTGGGGGAACCCAGAGCTCTCATTACATTAAAGACAAAATCAGGTGCAATATGATGAGCTTTCTTTCTTCCCTCTCTACATCAGCTCCTTTTTACTCTATATTCAAATCGGAATGGAGAAAGAAAAAGCAGGGTTGCTATTGAGCCAATAAGCCCACGATCATCTGTGTATCTCCCACCGGTGATCTGAGTGGTCAGTGCTATCTGTTACATGTTGCTAACATCACCTACCACCAGTGGAGATAGACCACCTTCTACAGAAAGCCTGTCTCTGCTTTCCAACCTCAAATAGCTGTGCAGCAAAACTATTTGCTAGGCGGTAAAAGAGGGTTCTTCGCTCAAGTTGTTGAAATAGAAAATCACTGAGTTCTCTGCAGTACGAGTGTAAGGCAGAGTTGAGGGTGGTGATGCCTGTAGGTAGGACCACCCATAACACAGCTGAGGCTTCAGGTGAAGCACATAGCAATTCTCCTTCTGGGCTGCACAGTGGCTGGGTGAGACCTGAAAGGTAAGTCCTTCCCAGGTAATTCCACATGCTGCAGAGCTGGAGAACTGATTTGTAGAGGTATCGACTCAGGGAACTTGGGGACCACTGGATTGGAAGGATGGATGGATGGATGGATGGATGGATGGATGGATGGATGGATGGATGGATGGATGGATGGGTGGATGGATGGGTGGAAGGACATCTAGAGTGAAAATTCTCAGCCATGTAAGTAACAGTAACTTAGACACATAGACTAATGACAAAGACATAGCATCCTTGCCATAATTATACTCCAGTGTCTGTTTATGGCTGTGATAACAAAAGGCCTTGGAAGGCCAATGAAGCCACAGGTGTGTATATAGTGAAACATTACTTACAATTTATTAAAGTTTGCCTGAGTATTCAGAAAGCAAAGTCAGTCACAAACCATAGAAGCCAGGCACACGCCTTTAATCATAGGACTCAGGATTAAGAGGTAGATGGATCTCTGTTAGTTTCATGACTACATGAAATTGATCCAGTGCTAAGAGAAACAGCTCACACAAAGATGATCTCAGCACTTGGGATCACATGCCTTTAATCCCAGGACTAGAGAGGTAGGTGCAGGGTCTTCAGTAGGCTCAGTCTCAGGTTCTCTCCAGTCATGCTGAGGAGAGGCAGCAGCCTTGGTGGACAGCTCATGGATCAGCCCTTTCAGCCTGAGGTAGAGGTAAGAGCTAGTGAGACTGAGATTGTGTGCAGGGTGTCTGCCAGGATGTTGGAACTGTTAAGATCAAGACTGATGTGACAGGACACAAACAGAAGAGTCAGTCACAGTCCATGCACAGACCTCATCCACTCTTGTGTGAGTTCTGAATCCAGGAGATTCCTCGGAGATAACTGTGCTGAGAGTTAATGGGGCTAGGCCTTCACACATTCGCACTGACCAGTCCTTAAATGAAGGCTGTGCCCAGAGAAGACTATTTTGGCTAAAGCAGCTTGTTTGAAACACAGGAAGCTCCGGTAGTAGGAGGCTCCAGTAAAGTCTTTGTTGACAACATTTCCAGCACTAAGGAGAACAAATCTGAGCCCAATACTTGGTGATATCCTACATGGCATCCCCCATTGTTTGCTTGCAAAGATAAAAATCTATTTGTCAACATTTTTTGAGCACCCAATGGATTAAGCGGATAAAAGGTAACTAAGTTGGCTCCCTGAATTATCTTCCTGGCAGGAAATAAACATAGAAGGCAGGCAAAGTTTAAGACAGAAAAATCAGCAGTGAGCCCTAGGAAGGGTTGTGCAAGAGCAAGCATTGGGCAATGAACTCCTGGTTGCACGTAAGAAAGAGCTGATGTGTGCTGCCTCTTCTTGGGGAAACTGGCCCTGGCCAGAGTTGTGAAACAGACAAAGTGGGGTCATTTCCTCTTTTCTTTCAGCCAAAGGCCTGACTCTTCAAAGGGCAGTTTGTTTAGTGATCCCGGGCTGCTCTGAGAGTAACAGCATGATCAGGACTGGACTCAGGCTAACTTTCAGGCCCTTCCCTCAGGTGGAATGACTGCAAGGCCTAACAAGTTACCCAAGCAGAGATACTGATGGCTCATACCTCTGATCTACAGCCAACAGGGAAGCCCGTGCCTGCTTTCCACTCATGGAAGCCTGTAGTCTCTATATATCAAGACCAGCTTCTCCCTCCCATCTCTGTGAATTCCTTTACCTGATGAAACAAATTGCCCTAAACTGAGTGGCGTAAAAACAACCATAGTGGATTCTCTCATAGCCTTGGACGTATCCTACACTCTTAACTCCGGTTGGTGCGAGGAGCCCTGGGTATTCCTTGGCTTATGAATATAGTCTCTGCCCCAGACACCTCACGGCTTTGTCCTATGTCCATGTAACTTCCTCTCCTTTTTCTTTTTTTTTCCTTTTGGCTTTTTTGTTTTTTGTGTGTGGTGTATGTGTACATTCGTGGTTTTATTGCTTTTTGTGGAGAATGTTATGCGTGTGCACATGCATGCATACATGGAGGCCAGAGGTTAATGTCAGGTGTCCTCCATCACTCCCCTCCTCATTTCTGGAGACAAAGTCTCCCACTGAACCTGGAACCTCACTGATAAGGCTAAAAGGACAGGCCTCAGGGATCCTCTTGTCTCCGCTCTCCCATAACCCCCTGCACTGGGGTCACTGGAGCATGCCACCAAACCTGGCTTTCCATGCGGTTTCTGGGGATCTGAACTCAAACATTTCACCAGCTGAGCCATCTCTCCAACCCCTTTTCCTCTTTTCTTCTGAACAGTAATCTCGTCGACCAAGCCTCAGCCTACTCTGGAATGACATCACCTTAATTTAGTTACAACTGCAAAGACCCTATTTCCAAATATGGTCATCTTTGCAGGTAGTAGGTATTAGTTGTTGAAAGCATATTTCAATTCATAATGCTGTTGCTAAGGTTACTAAGGTGCCTGTTGCTAACCACAACTAACGTTAGGATGCCCACACTCATTAATTAACGTATGCTAACAAAAGACATCTTGACAATTTCCTTAGATCCTCTCAGCAGAGGACTGTCTCCATCCTTGAAAACAAAAAATATGCGGAGAAAAATGGGAACCATGTGGGAGGTTTTGCAATGCCTTCAGTAAACAGATGCTTAGGATAATTTCCTCACGTGTAAGGAGTGAAGGGAGCTGAGGAGACAAAACGAAGCTCCCAACTTCATTAGGACCAAATCCACTGGCAAATTGCGTTTATTAAACTAATTATATTGCTAATGTGTCAAGACTTAAATATGACCTGGATCTATTATTTCTAGATTCTACTTTGCTGGTCTTGCCAGAGGCCATGCAAAACCCACCCAGCTACTGGATAAAGAAAGGCAGGTGTCTCCCTATGGTATTGGGTTGAGGAAGGCTCTGCATGGATGGAGACACCCATCCTTTCCTGCCAACATGACTTTAAGATTACCTTGTGTTGTGTTCGTAGACAGCAATGATGATGAGCTACTGTGAAACTTCAGTCACCCACGAGTTGACAACAGTCGCCCTGAAGCACTTGGGGCTGCTGAGGGAGAGATGGAAATTGCAGATTTTTTTTTTTGCTGGAAGAAAAGGAAAAAAAACTCAGATTTTTGTGAAAGCCCTGTAATTTCCTATGTAATTTTAGGCTGACTTAACTCCGTTCTTAAAAGGTCTTTGAAGGAAGAAAGAAAAGTGGGTAAGAAGGAGGGGGGGGCTCTGTTCTAAAACCAACAATGGTTGTGGGAATCCTAGGGATGAACTTATTAGCACCAAGAGATCCTGGGAGTGGTAGGATGCTGCCCAGGTGTGGTGAGGCTTGTGTCTTGAAAGGAAATAACAGAACAAAACAAAGTCCATGGGGAGACACTGAGCAGTCAGCCAGCTGTGCACTGCTCCTGCTCAGAAACCTCCTGCAGGTTAACTAGACTCGTGCATCACTCCAATGCCCATAAAATGGAAATAAGATGACTTTTCCTAGCAGCAGTGGGGGGTCATGGCTAGAGCATAATACTCTAGTCTCAGTTCCAATACTGCGCAGACCTCGGACCAAGGAATTACCAAGTGTCTCAGAACCTGGTTCCTCCATCTTTAAGATCTGTTCTGATAGGGTTTCTGGAGGAGCCAGGTCTGACAGAGTGTGCAGAATGTTTGCGATATCTGAGCTTAGATATGTAACTTCCTGCCCCCACTGTGTGTGTGGAGGGTGAGCTACCTGGAGCTCTTAGATCTTTGATCCCGCTTGGTGGCATGTCTACCTCCTAGACTTCACCCAGCACCACTGGATGTGGCCTTGTGCATCTGAGGACTTGGAGTAGACTGGTTACATTAAATGTGTGTGGGGGGGTCCTCATCAGTGGGTGCTGGATTCCTCTTGTGACTGATAAAACTGCAGCATGATTTCAGAAGTGACAGAATGCAATGTGACAAGACCACAATGGAGCTTAACACTAAACACAACAGTGAGCACAAACCAGACACACGAGGGAAGAGGAGGAGATGCCTTCCACTCTTGCCTGTGCTGAATTCCTCTTTGAGGGGGTTCTCGGTGTTGATGCCGAGTAAAAGGGAACTCCAAGGAGAGGCAGGGTGCAGGCGTCCTCATACAAGGCACTGCCCACCAAGATAGTTAAGCTCAACTCAGCTCTTTTCAGGGATACTTGAGTGCAAAGAAATCAAGAAAAGAGGTTGTACATCTGGGTGCTGACAATGGCCTTTGGGGATTCTTTTATACTTGTGGTTTGAATTCCCCAGAAGGCCTATTCTTTTCACCTAAAAGATCTATTCTATAGCCCGATTTCAAGACTCCTAGACACATAGTGCATGGAAGCTAAGGCCTCCACAACGGGTCAGGACAAGTGTAGGCACGTAACCTGACTAAATACCCCTTTCAACTCCAGAGAGCAAGCTATTGTTAGCAGACCTTCTCTCTCCTGCTGAAGGCAGCCTTTTCTCACCCTCACAGACACACAGGGACTGCAAACTGACCTTTCCCCCTACTCGGCCCTGATATGTTTACTTTGGGCAATCATTCTCTGTCTTGGCTATTGGTGGTTTAAAAATTAGCTGTAAAAAGACCCTAACACCAGGCTTCCCTCATCAGCCTTGTCCAGTCTTATGACATTGCAAAATGGCATCACCATCTACAGAGTTCACAAGCATGAGGCAAGCAGTCAAGTCCCCCCTTGCACCCCAAAAAAACTGAAAACACAAAAAAACCTTATTGTTTTTAAGTTTACAATGTTGTTTTAGGCCGTACTGTATAGCTATCATCAGCTGCATGCAGGAAGAGTCTAGCTAGACTCTGGGGGCGGGGGAGGGTAAGATCTGGGAACAGGTGTTTTCTTTTAAAAAAAAACTGTAATTTTAATAGTGTGTGTGCGCGTGCAAGTGTGTATGTGCGTGTGCGCGTGCAGGTATCTATGGAGGCCAGACAATGACAACAATCAGATCTTCTAGGGCTAGAGTTACAGGCAGTTATGAGCCACCAGATGAGGGTGCTGGAAACCAAAGTAAGACGGTCTGAAGAGCAATTGTCCTCTCACCCTCTGGGCCATGTCTACAACCCCAGGCATGGGCACCTGAAGAAACTCTCAGACTAAGTGATCAGTCAAGGTTGAGATCCACTGACTTCAAGATTAAATTGGAGCATAATGGCCAAGATAGTGAACTCCAACTTACTCGGTCTTCGAGATTGTTGTTGACCAGTTCTTGGGATACCTGGTTTGGGAACCATAGTGACTGGATTAGTTAACTAGAACCAGCATAAAACAACATAGGCTGGGTGGCTTCAGTTACAAAGTTCTCTTTCTTAAAATTTGAAGGGCTAGAGCTGGCTGGTGGTAGCACCTGCCTTTAATCCCAGCACTCGGGAGGCAGAGGCAGGCAGATCTCTGTGAGTTCGAGGCCAGCCTGGTCTACAAGAGCTAGTTCCAGGACAGCCTCCAAAGTCACAGAGAAACCCTGTCTAGAAAAACCAAAGGAAAAAAAAAAATCAGAGGGCTAGAAATTTCAGAATCAAATCGCCAGAATGGTTGGGTTCAGGTGAGGGCTCACTTCCTGGATTGTAGATGGCCATATTCTTACTGTGACCTTCTCTCTTCACTTCAGGAGTGTGTGTGTGTGTGTGTCTGTGTGTGTGTGTGTGTGTGTGTGTGTGTTTAAGAGAAAGAGAGAGGAAAGAAGGGAGAGAGAAGAGAGAGAGGGAGAGAGGAGAGAGAGACAGAAAAAGAGAGAGAGAACTATGGAGTGTGCTCTCTCTCTGACATCTCTTAACCTTAGCTACTTCCTTTGAGCCCCAACTGGGACTATGGTTTCAGCATATGAATTTTGGGAAGACATAAACATTGATGGGCCAGTAACAATGGCTGCAGCCCATCAGAAAGCTCAGCAGTTAAAGCTTCCCTGGGGCCACATGTCCTTGTCCCCACCTTGGGTTCACAGATGAGCATACTGCTATTTCTCAGGAGCTTCTTAGAAATGCAGATGCTGGGCCTCAACACAGTCGTGCTCCTTCCCTGATTTAAATAAGAGCCCCCACCCCGGGGCCAGCAAGTGAATCAGTGTAGGAGAAATGCCAAGGCAGACCTTCCCCAATCCCACTTTCCTCCTCCTGTGCATGGAGGGGAATAAACCTCCTAGCCATTGACTTTAAGGATACAAGATGAAAGTTACTGACTATGTCACCATCATGAAACACTTTTGTGTCTTCCCACTTCCTCCTGTCCTTTAACCCTCAAGGATTTTCCTCATGAAACAAAGGAAACATTAACTCTGGGCCAGCTGCAATAAACAAGGTGATAAGCCTTATCTAAGGTAGCAGCAAATCAGGCTGGTAGAGCAAGAGAATGGGGCCTGAGGGCCTTAGAGCTAGGAAGGTGTGAAAGGATGAGGGCAGGGCGGCTCTAGAGAAACAGCTCCCAGACCACAACAAAGGGAACCTCAGGCACCTGGTCCAGGACAGCTGGGGCTTTTGAAATGAGGGTTGAAGTTAATAGGAGAACAGGGCTGAGGAGCTTTCCCTATCTGTCTTGTCACAAGATTTCCTAGAAAAGGTGCCAAGAAGATTAAATTTCTTTTGCAATTAATTTTTTTGCCAACAATAGGAGATGGGAGAATCTTGGATGGTTAGCATTGATGTTATGAAGAAAGACCAATTGCCCAAACCCCTCCATCTTGTATATATATATATATATATATATATATATATATATATATATATATATGTGTGTATATATGTGTGTATATATATATATATATAGAGAGAGAGAGAGAGAGAGAGAGAGGTAGATGTAGATAACAAAGATTTCTGCTACTATAGGTTGTCTCCTGTGATTAGGCAAGGGATGGAAGCATCTCATTTCTTGAAGGAAGGTCTGTGTGTGATACGGGGAGGTTAGAAGACCCCATCAATGAAACTGACCTGTCCTAGAATGCTGCCCACAGCGCCCTAACCCCATCAGTTTCTGTACTTGGGCTTTTGTGGGACCCTCCAACCTGAGCAGCAGCATCTACATCTTTGGAGCACTCAATTCCAGCCTGGGTTTGCTCTGGGTTCAGCCTACCCAGATTTTTACAGCCAATTTTGCTCCCCACCTCCCCACCTCCCCACTCTCCATACCCATACAAGTTTGGGTCACACCCAATTAAAGACAGTTCTTGTAGACTCAGATGACTGGGTTTGTCCTTTTACCCATCTACTACTGAATTGGGTTTGTCCTACCTCCCTAGAAAATACTCTTTTTATAAATTGTTTTTGTTACTTTGAAACAGGGTCTCATACAGTCCAGGCTAGCCTCCAACTCTCTGTATAGCCCATACTTGTCTTGAACTCCTAATTCTCCTCCATGGTTCTCAACAAAGGAAGCCAAAGAGACATTTTACAGCAGATTTTAAAAGGGGCAGATTTAAAGGTGGGAGCAGAATCACCATGGCAACCATGGCCCATTGTTACTTGGCTGGTTCCTGGGGATGGTGCAGAGAAACAGCCAGGTGCCTGCTGCTGCAGCTCTCAGACCCTGGCCAGAGTGTCTTAATGAGAGGCTTCCAGCCAGAACTGGAAACAGTGAGGTGTACAGAAATTCCAGGTTGTCCTGCTCTCTCTAGCACTGTATCTTGTCACCTTGCCCCATGACTCTGCTGTCATTAGACTCTAACACCAGATGCCCACTGGAGGCAAAAGCCAAGTCCCCTTAGTCTATGTCACCCTGGCAGTTCTGTTTCTCAGTTTGAATCTCAGCTGATAGGACTTAGAGTCAGGGTAAGAAAGAAGTTGCAAAGGTTAACGGTGTACTTCTTATGAACTTGAAGAAGCCAGGGCTGGGTGGTGGTGCCCCATGCCTTTAATTCCAGCACTAAGGAGGCAGAGGCAGGGGGGAATCTCTAAGTTCAGGCCACCCTGATCTACAGATCTAGTTCCAGGACCAGGATAGCTGGGACTACACAGGGAGACTCTGTCTTGAAAATCCCCCACTCCAGAAAGAAAAAAGAGAAAGAAAGAAATCAGGGCCGGAAAAATGGCTCAGTCCTTACAACCATAAGAATATATATTGTTCTTATAGAAGCCCAAGCTTGCTTCTCAGCA